CAAAGGAAGAACAATATCCTCTGTCACGTGTAAAGGTCCCATGGCTGGTATCTCATTGTCAACGGGACAAGTAGTTGTAACACTACACATAGAGTAGACTTCACTGAAATAGTTAGCAAATGTCTCAGCTTTCGATAGATCAGATTCAGCCAATAAATCTGAATTTTCGCTTAACAGTAATGAGGGGATACCATCACTACGTTTCGTCCGCCTTTTAACATACGAAAACAGTCGCTTCGGACAGGTACGGCTATCGCATGCCAACTGTCGTTCGTAAGCGGTACGAGATTTACGTATGGTCTTTTTATATATATTCCGGGTTTTTTATATTCGCACTTAAATGATACCTGACCTGTTGACAAGAGTAAGTCCTAGAAGTGTTTCCTACGCTTCAACAGCTTCCGGGTTTCCTTATTAATCCATGGAGGGCAATGTGATAGCTTACGTGCTGACCATGGGATAAACGGTTGAGTTACGGATTCGAACGTAGACTTAAACCTATTCCATGCATCATCAATCGATCCATCAGCATCGACCGACCAGTCAATTAAGATAGCATAGTCACAATTGATTGATCACTGGGTGGTGATCAATCTCATGCGTGTCAGGTCCTTAGTGCTGATCGAATGCTATCGATCAAGTTGCAATGTGGCCACCAGTCTAGGTGGCTCGACACTGCGGGCACTATATATATTAGGGTAACATGGTGGTTGGAGGTGGTCAACAGGAAACCCTGGACCCGGGTTTCGTGCTACTTGGCACTCGTCAACAAGGTGTACCTGTAATCTTGAGGGAACTGACGCTCCCTGGCGGATTCGATCCCGCGTCACTCAGCTTCACAGTCAGAGACGTTACCACTGAGCTATTCGGGCCGCGACCGACCTCCTGTAGGACTGAGATCTAATCACAATTGATTGATCACTGGGTGGTGATCAATCTCATGCGTGTCAGGTCCTTAGTGCTGATCGAATGCTATCGATCAAGTTGCAATGTGGCCACCAGTCTAGGTGGCTCGACACTGCGGGCACTATATATATTAGGGTAACATGGTGGTTGGAGGTGGTCAACAGGAAACCCTGGACCCGGGTTTCGTGCTACTTGGCACTCGTCAACAAGGTGTACCGGGTCCAGGGTTTCCTGTTGACCACCTCCAACCACCATGTTACCCTAATATATATAGTGCCCGCAGTGTCGAGCCACCTAGACTGGTGGCCACATTGCAACTTGATCGATAGCATTCGATCAGCACTAAGGACCTGACACGCATGAGATTGATCACCACCCAGTGATCAATCAATTGTGATTAGATCTCAGTCCTACAGGAGGTCGGTCGCGGCCCGAATAGCTCAGTGGTAACGTCTCTGACTGTGAAGCTGAGTGACGCGGGATCGAATCCGCCAGGGAGCGTCAGTTCCCTCAAGATTACAGGTACACCTTGTTGACGAGTGCCAAGTAGCACGAAACCCGGGTCCAGGGTTTCCTGTTGACCACCTCCAACCACCATGTTACCCTAATATATATAGTGCCCGCAGTGTCGAGCCACCTAGACTGGTGGCCACATTGCAACTTGATCGATAGCATTCGATCAGCACTAAGGACCTGACACGCATGAGATTGATCACCACCCAGTGATCAATCAATTGTGATTAGATCTCAGTCCTACAGGAGGTCGGTCGCGGCCCGAATAGCTCAGTGGTAACGTCTCTGACTGTGAAGCTGAGTGACGCGGGATCGAATCCGCCAGGGAGCGTCAGTTCCCTCAAGATTACAGGTACACCTTGTTGACGAGTGCCAAGTAGCACGAAACCCGGGTCCAGGGTTTCCTGTTGACCACCTCCAACCACCATGTTACCCTAATATATATAGTGCCCGCAGTGTCGAGCCACCTAGACTGGTGGCCACATTGCAACTTGATCGATAGCATTCGATCAGCACTAAGGACCTGACACGCATGAGATTGATCACCACCCAGTGATCAATCAATTGTGATTAGATCTCAGTCCTACAGGAGGTCGGTCGCGGCCCGAATAGCTCAGTGGTAACGTCTCTGACTGTGAAGCTGAGTGACGCGGGATCGAATCCGCCAGGGAGCGTCAGTTCCCTCAAGATTACAGGTACACCTTGTTGACGAGTGCCAAGTAGCACGAAACCCGGGTCCAGGGTTTCCTGTTGACCACCTCCAACCACCATGTTACCCTAATATATATAGTGCCCGCAGTGTCGAGCCACCTAGACTGGTGGCCACATTGCAACTTGATCGATAGCATTCGATCAGCACTAAGGACCTGACACGCATGAGATTGATCACCACCCAGTGATCAATCAATTGTGATTAGATCTCAGTCCTACAGGAGGTCGGTCGCGGCCCGAATAGCTCAGTGGTAACGTCTCTGACTGTGAAGCTGAGTGACGCGGGATCGAATCCGCCAGGGAGCGTCAGTTCCCTCAAGATTACAGGTACACCTTGTTGACGAGTGCCAAGTAGCACGAAACCCGGGTCCAGGGTTTCCTGTTGACCACCTCCAACCACCATGTTACCCTAAGATAGCATAGTCCCTGATTGCCGGAATATTAGCTCTCCAGATATTAGGACTGAGTGTAGCGGATGCAAATTGCATACTATGTATCTGGAACTTAAAGTAAAGTACGACATGTTCACTATTCACCAGTGAGGGAAGTTGTTGAATGTCGACGACATTTTCACAGTGGTGTGTGAGGACAATGTCTATCAAAGATGGATTATGTTCCAAGTCAATATGTGTCGGCTTTACGATACATTGTGCAAGTGCGTATTCAGTAATTGTTGATAGAAGGGCGTTATCAAAACCCACCTGGAGCTGTTAGCTCTATCCAGTTAATATGGGGTGCATTGAAGTCTCCAACGATGAGACAACATTCTGCCTTACTCCAAGAACAGACGTGTCTTAGGATAAAGTTGTCAACGAGACAACACGAACTATTATATATTCCTCCTATAGTCACTAACATGTTTCCAGACCTAATTGTACAACATACTACCTCACACGTATCACTTACATGAGCCTCCGATATGATCAAGTTTAAGCGGAAGTGGTCCCTAACATATAATATTATGCCTCCTCCCTTGCGACTTCTAACTCTATCACTTCTGATACAGATGTAGCCTGAAATGACTGGAGAACATTCTATATCTACAGTGAGCCAAGTTTCGGTGATAACAATTATATCGGGATTTAATTTGTCCACCATCAAACTTGGCTCAGACATCTTATTCCGAAGACTACGGACATTCGTGTAACACACATTAAAGGTGTTTTTGGAGACATACGTTCTACCCACACAGATTTCGGAAGCATTGGCTTCCGAGACCTGACTACCCGAAAAACATTAATCGTAAGGTTCGTTTCACCGTTTAGCTCTCGCGTTTTTAACTCTGTTAGGGCATTCTTCCACTTGATCCGATCCTCAAGTGGCCAGTCTGGTCGAATACGAATATTTGAGTCCCGAATTTTGCGTGCGTTATTCAGTACTACGTCTCTTTCCTCAAAATTACCGAGTGCTGATTTAGGGATCCTTCTCTGTTGAGTTTCCCCTCCAACATATTTACCGAGTCTGATGACTTTCGAGATATATACCCCTGAGATCTCATCGGGCAGTACATTTCTGATGAGAGATCCCACTAACCGTAGGTCGTGGGCATGTCTCTTAGCAGGATCGGTGTCTTTCGACTCTTCCAAGTTCCAAATGATTACAATAGGGACCTGTTTAACTTCCTTAAAAGTCGTGTTCACGGCTTTCGACCGTTATGTCAGATCCTGCCGGTTAGCTACTGGCTTCTTACTGTTAGCTTTCTTTATAACAGTGTCATGTTGTAGTGCCGTGCTTCAATAATTGTTCACCTCGATAACCGTTATTATACCAATCTTAACGGTGTTTAAAATCAGAAGGCAAAAAGAAGCGGCAACTACACTTTTATTGATGAATGATGCAGACCAGAAAACTGTGGGCACATGAGGAAATGTAAGCGAGCGAAGCAAAGATGATGTATAGTGGAGATGGCTGGGAAGCCAACTCATTTTAAGCAAGCGTTAATCAGTATTTATAGCAGACAAAAATGAATGACAGACATATGATGAATAAGATACGAAGTATGCATACACATGCGCTCATGTAAAAAGATAGTCAAGGTTAATAAGCGAATAATTAACAAGATCAAAATATGACTCATAATGGATAGGCGAATTGGCTTGGCCAGTAGCTAGAATAAAGTATGTGGGCTTAACATATAAACTGATACTACAGTGTGAGTCGAGCGAGTGACTCACAACAACATTTGGTGAATCCAAACTGTTCCCATCCACAACAATGCTAAATATTTTCTTACATTTGAACTTAAGCGGAGTTGCCTGATGTGCAGACGTGAGTCCAACAAGGACTTGTCGACTATACGCGCGCTCTCTTTGGGTATTTTTCCTTCTCTTTTACGCTTCCGCGGAATCCATTTCCCACTAGTCTCAGCATCCAGATTGGAACTACTCTGGACGATATTGGTCATTAGTCGCTGCTAAAGCAACTTGTCCCTCGATACCTAATGGCGTGTCTTTCATTAGTTTTATCGGAGTAGAAATTTCTGTTTCGTGTTGCAAAATTGTATGTCTGGAACATTCCGTGGCATCATTTACGACACTGATACAATCTTCGTCATCAGTATCCATGTTGCCGGCACGGCCTTCGTCGACCTTTTTAGTAGCTAATGCTAGAAGGCTAATGGCTTCCTGAATAAGTAATGTTTTGCTTGAACAACAAAACATACAGAACCAATAAAAATTGGGTTTCGAGCACCTTTCATAAACAGTAGGGCTTAAGCGGGCACACATTTTGTGAAACCACTCCTTAAATTCGTCACATTGCATCCCTTCTTCGACGGGGAATAAGCAATACGGCTGTCCACACTTGTATGCAGAGCCGACCATCTTAGAATGAAGCAAAATGATAGGCAAGGTAAATATGAAAGACAAATCACAACCTTGATCACATAATCAAGCCACAGTCGACCAAGAATGCTTTGATGCAGTAAATACATGAAAGCAGGATCAAAACACACGAATACAATGTCACGTTAACTGAAATAAATTCAATTAAAGTGTAAACAGTAGTTTTGATATGTAATTTACGATCAAAACAGTGAATTTAACAAGAAACAATACCACTATCCTTTTAAAACGACTATTACACGTAAGACACCAGACCAGAAACAGACGAATAGTTCATTACTTTTCTCAATCAAATTTTGAGGGCTTCAGGCTAGAATTATGATAGGCGCATTTAGCGAAGCGTGCGTTGCATCCTGCTCGTGATGTGTTTACCAGAGTTTAGACCACAGTATATTATCATCTAATGAGAGTAAGTGCGATGGGTTTTTTTTGCCAAAACTATAGATAATTCTAAAATTAGCGTTTTTACTTGAAATGTACTTTAGTCATGAAGGCACACATGAGGAAGCGACATTCACTATGTATACTCGATGTAAGTTTTAAGCTAAACTCCACCAAAATGCCACTTGTTTTGCTTGAAGTCGGGAAGTGGTAATAACTGCTCTTATAGTACCTTTTTGGTGATAATTCTAAGCCATCAGCTGTTTTTTTGCGATTGTGTGTATATTTTGGTAGATCCGGCATGTGTAAATTTTAAGTGTTTCCGACGAGTTTTTCTCTGAATTAACTAGAAATCTGCCAGAAATAGATCTATCTCGCCCTTACTGTACATTGGGGAGCCACAAACCTCTTGAAATTCACACAAAAGTAGTCGGTGAAACTTACAGTAATATAACAAATAATTAATACCTGCGTGTTTAATCGAAATGTCAAAGTTGTAATTTTAGATTGCCACTTGAGTGACTCATTTTTATTATAACACTAATCCAATTTATCTCGCACGTGAAAGTAACCTTACTTCGCGATGTCTTAGTTTTTCAAAATCTTCCTCGTTGGCACTGGATAATCAAAATCTTGATGCTTGACAAGGGTACCTATCGTTTCGATGAAAATAGTGTTCTTAAAATTATAATTCCCGAATGATTCTACCGAAGAAATTATGACTCAAAGGTTAAGGAGGTATAGCGTTTTTTAGCGAGTTGATTTTCTACGGGATGGGGTCGCTAACCCCCCAGGTATAGAAAACATTTAATGCAGCCTGACTGAGTGCCGTCTTCTACAACCGCCCCAAAATAAGAATGGCTAATAAGGACAGATTACCTGAATTCGCCACACCCATGTGTATTTACCAATCCAAATGCTCCTGTGGAGCCAGTTATATAGGACGTACAATTCGGCAAGTGTGTCATCGCATTGCAGAATACCATCCGTCTTGGTCGAGCAAAGGACATGTAAGAGTGATCAAGATAGTTCTATTCTCACTCACTTGGTCGACACAGGTCATCAAGTTGACTTGAACAAAGCTTTTAAGGTTATTCACAACATTCCATCACATTTGCCGCATGGTGTATGAGTTCGTCTTTTGCATATTGCTGAAGCTATTGAAATCCATGTTTGCAAACCAAACCTTTGTATCCGAAAGACGTTTGTCCGACCACTCTCGCTACCTTGACCATCGGTATAAGGGAGCTTGTAGCAGAACTTTAAAAAACTATTTTCATACATCTTCCACATTTTGTATTTTACTTATTCTCAACATTCGTCTCCTCATTCTTACATAACTACTATACTACTGACCATTCATCAAAATATTTTGTTAGTTCCTTCTTTTTTATACATTATGCAACGTAGTAACTGTTTGATTTTCAAATAGTTACTTTGATTATTATAATATCCTTTCTGCCAATTTCTCATTGTTAGTTTATATTCCTTATGTCATCATATGATCATTACGTAACGTATCTACTCGATGAGTATTAATTCAATGTTGTAAATCCTATATATAAACTAACTGATGAGAAATTTCTTCTCTTGATTCGTTCCTTCTTCATTTGCCAAATAGTTTTTCGTCGCCACGTTTGTGAATTTAGTGTCAAGTAATAATCACCCTACACTAATGATTTCGGTGCATAATTCCGTATTATTGCGTGTGTAGTAGGCCATAAAATGTCGGGATGTTAATCCGTTTTCGGTTGACCAGATTCAGGATCATTTGACAGGATTGCTTGAGACACTATAAGTTCCTGTTGCGTCGACAAATGTGAACATGTCGATTGATGCTATGACTTCTGTCACAGGTAGGCATAGGCGACCCTGTAATAACTAGCATGTGGCAGGTGTCAATTTATCTTCACGACTAAGAGTTTGCGGTTCACGACCAATCATTGTTTTGTTGCAACTATATATATTGTTATATACCCCGGAAACATACTGATGAATCATAAGTACGAGAGTGGTTCTCGTCAATTTGTGAAGTATCGAAATTCTCTGTTACCTCCACAAAGTTGATATTGTCTTGTTCCAGAAGTTTAGCTGCTGGTCCAAATTCTAGACTATTTGTGCTTCAGTAATAATTTGTCTCTTATATATCGATGATAAGTTGCGTTTAATGCTTCGATGATTGATAGATAAGGTAGACTTGTTAGGGCAGCAAATGTTTACCTGCCCACGTTTCTAGTGAACACCAGATGAAAGAACAGCTGAATCATTTCTTATCGCAGCCTGCACAATTGTAATCAAAGTTAAATATCGACCGAACAGTAACTTGACTCTTCATGATAGGTGTTAGTCTCACAACTCCTACTTAGTGTTATATATGTTTTCGAATTTCACCCCATAAAGCCTATGGTATTTAACTACTCACGATATTCTTTCCTAATTTTCTTGGATTCCAATCTGGCATGAATTTAATTATTTAGTTTTACTTGCAAAACTAGGGCTTCATTGACTGAATGGGATCTAATTTTTATGTTGTAAATATACCTAGGTTACGTTTTGGTGATAGAATCTTGTCCTTTTGTGTCATCGGAATATCTGCAACTTATACTGTGAACTCTTAGGACGTTGCTCACATCATTGATTAAGATGAAAAGCCAATTTAGTAGTAATAAAACTGTAGTTGTTTAAATCTAAGCGTTTTATACATTTGTTATTAGTCTGGAATAAAAATTCCTATGCATTCACCATGTTATATTATGTAGTCGGTTTGGCTGTCAGTATTATTTTAGGCTAATCCTCAGGTTTTCTTTTTAATATAACAATGTTTACGTGACACGCCCATAGTACAACGATAAATGACACGCTTTTGATTCTTTTTCCATTACCGTTTAAAATACGGCTTGTAATATATGTGTGCCCATTTCTTCATGTACTATATTGAACAGTTATTTGTTCAAGTTGATTGAGCTTACCTTAAATTTATATACTATCAATGTTTGTATGTTTTCTATGTTGAGTTTATTGACTGTATCAACCATACCTAACTGGTTTCCATTTTCTCATCTTGTTTTCAGATTTGACAACACTGTTTTCCGTTACATCAGCTAATCAACGTTTAGTTAATTGAAGAACTTACTGGAAAATCTTGTAGATCAAACCGATATTAGTCATATAAAATACAACCAAATCATCCTTTGTGCCTGTCGTCAGATTCTAAAGTCTTCCTTCCTATTTTTTTTCTTCAAATTTATATAGTTTAGCACACTTTTACCTTCGTTGTTCTAAATTAATAAGCAATTTGAGCTGCACAAGAACTCACTGTTTAATGTTAGTATTATTTCTTTTGACTTATTTTAAGCACATCTATTCGAATTCAGTCTATTTCTAGTGTCGCTGTCCGATGACATGTTTGTGACTTGATTGAGTGAGGCAAATGATCTATCAATTTTAACGGTTGGTCATCAGTTGATTTTAAATTAGCCATTCTTTATTTCTTTCTGCAGTAAATTTGTTCTATTCTGAATGTATACTCTGATTGTATTATTTTATTTGTATTTACTTGAAGGTATACCATATGGTGTTCAGTCACGATTTCTACCTCTTATATTTCGCAATAAAGGTCTTTCACTTACTTCATTAGGTCTACATAAACTTCTTCATATTCCTTGGTTACTTAAAAGCTTTTATGCTCCGGTAATTGATAGACATGTGAACAAAAGAGTATGGTTATTTATCAGTTTCAGTGGTTTGTTTTTTTGTACAGTCTTGTTATTTCACGAAAGTGAACAATTGGTCAATGGAAACAATTATTTCATGTTCACTATTTCTTTTTGTCTTTTTATGTACAATTTTTGGGCAGCTTCACAAGACATTACTGTTGATTCACTGACCTTGTCCACCTTAGCATCTAATCAAATCTCTTTAGGGAATACTATACAAGTTGTTGGTTACAAATGTGGAGCTATTATTGGCGGTGGATTTCTTGCTTGGTTATCAGCTTTTGTAGAAATTAGTTATCTTTTCATATCACTTAGTTGCTTATATGCTAGTGGAATGTGCTTTTGTTTGATTGGAAGGTTTTGGAAATTTTGTAATGTCAAACAGTTTCACGAAAAAACGTACATTCAAGTAAATGGTAAGGTTGAATTGATAAACTGCACAGTGATTTGTAACTTCATAACGTTTTTGCGTAATATTATTCTGTTTTTCATAAGAACTTTCGTCTAGATTTAAACGAATAGTTTCACAGTAGATGGGCCCCGAGTTAATATAATATTAAGGAATATTAAGTGATGTACTTTTCAGCTTTAATTCTTTGATTGCAGTTCGTTTTTCAGAAAGACTAATGCTTCCATCATTAAGGGAGATTGTCAGTTCAAGGGGTAGTGATTTTTACTCAGCTACCCAACTTGAAGCAAGCGGAACCACGTCAGAATCGGGGACCTGCTGGTTAAATGTTAGATGTTTTAACCGTCAAGCTACTTTTTTAATTATGTCTTTTAATTAGCTAAGTTATATTTACGTCAAATGCATATATTGCTTCTAATGATCTTGATATCTGGAAAGATAATCGAAGAACGTTCATGTAAGATATTTCATGTGTAAACTCAAGTTCGTTGGGGATCCGTGTCTGTTACTTAACAGTCCTGTCTGTATTATAAGTCGAAAGAGTGATTTAGTTCATAATATTGTTAGCAGGCATCAATCGAGGCTTTTGAACTTCATTTCATCGTCTACTCAAAAGTGTGTTGTCGATGAGTTAAATTAGCTAGTGTTAAACAAACCAAAATCAGTTGTTAGTCTGATTCGTACAAGTAGGTTTTTATTTCCTGCAAAAAGGTTCATGAAACAATGGTCACTGATTAGAACGATCCTAGATGACTCGGCTTAAAATTAGTTGTAATTTGCCCAGATACATCCATACTTTGTAATTGTTTCAATTAGCCCCATTAGAAGGTAAAGGCTTTTTGGTTGTTCTGCAAGGTATTCGTAATCTGTGCTAAGAGACTAAATAATGTCACTTAAAACCAATCGAAGTCCTGTAGATGCATTCGTTTTTGATCTTCAAATCTTGAGTTTTAATATTTATCTGATTTCATCCCCTGATTTTATTCATTCCTTCTAAAATATGTGTTCTATGTTTGGTTTATCATTATAAACAATACTGGGTATAAGGTGCTAAGTGGATTGATTGGTGAGGTTTTTGTGTAGTGAACGAGAACAAGAGTGGGGACAGTATAATCCATCTGAATACAAAATTACAGAACAACTTAGTGAAATATGAAAACCATACAGTAAATACTTCATTTGCAAAATATCAGTCAGTCGTCTTGGACTTCATTGTTCTTTCGTTTCCACACCAATCATTCTTTGTTCTCATTCTATTTTCTTTGATCTTCTTAAACTAATGACTCCAGGCATTTCACTTTCGATTTATGATACGTACTACTTATATCTTTCGACATCAGTAGCACACACCACAGCGGATCTTCATCAACTGGGGTGCTTAGGACCAGTGGTACGTATGCCTAATCACTACCTACTTCAATGTTCAGTGTTGGCTGGTGTATGAATTAGCTAGGAAAAGGCTAGAATCTTCTAAACCAAAATGTAACGTTAGTCCATGAGGTCACTGATTACTGGCCTAAGCCATGTTGGTAAATGAAAGCCACTTGGTTGGGGTCCGCGCGATCAATGGTTGAAAACATTGGATAATATGTCTCAGAATCGTAAAAAGTGGTTAGTGACCGGGTAACATAGCTCAAAATTGTACCTAATGGCATAGGCACATTCATTCTGTCTTCCTCTAGATCCTAAGTCTCTAAATTATCTTATAATTTTTTCCACGAATCTATATCTTATATGCTTAGTCTTTTCTATAACCACTACTATCTTCGCCACTCTGAGATTCGCTTTGACAATTTCGTCTCATCGTGCTAATGTGGTCCGGAAAATTGAACCGATTCACATTTGTGCCAGGTTCTTAGTTGCATTGTCATTGGCTCATTATTTTGATTCTTCTAACTCATGTTAAATTGTATGGGAACTTGGGCCAATGCACATCTTTGTCAGATTATGCATTATGACTGAATGACCAACTTCAAAATTTTCCCATATAATCTCGTTTATTGTGCTCAATTAAAGTCTGACAAATTGAACTGACGCATAATTATGCAAGATTAAATACTGTTTATGATTAACTGATGATGGCAGTTTGTTAACTGGACGGTTTAAATTCAGAATTAATGATCTACATAAGAGAGAAAAACACTAGTTTCATAGCATACTGAGGACGCCGTTATAACATATTTGAGTTAATCACGCTTTACAGATACTATACATTTTATAGTCTAATTAGGTTATAGTTTTACATTATAATATTATATATCTTTGACTTCTTTTATTTTGCTTGACTAATCAACTTTAATTTTTCATCAGAGAATGAGAATTCAGACGATGAACGAGATTTAACTATTGTGTCAAAACAATATTCGTACACAAAAGCTTTCAAAATTGCCCTGGGTGATTCAGGTGGTTCGCGTTGTCTTATTGTTCTTCTATTGATTTATAAACTTGGAGAACAAGGATCTATGAATATGTTACCTTTGATGCTTTTAGATAGAGGATTTTCTTTATCTAAAGTTGGATTTTGGACTGGTGTTGTTGGACAGTTGGCATCTATAATTGGGTCTACATCTGGATATTATATTCAGAAAAAGCTCAGGTTTGTTTAAGCTATCAAACAAATATAAATAAATAATATATTTGTAATATCCCAATGAGTAGAAAAATTAGATTTTCTGACGTTTCGTGACTCAGTGTAAGCCACTTCTTCAGAGAATAAATAACCAAATTAACATTAATCCAAGTTTAAATAGTACAACGGAACAATCCAAGAATATTAGGTGATCAATCAAAAACAGGTCTGAATAAATCACTGTCACGTCATTTCATTTCGGTCAAGGTGATTCATAAGCGACATGTATGTAATTTTGTGTGTATGTATGCACTGTTAATAATGAAAACTGTGTGACCTTTATAATTACAAAGGATAGAGTTTGATTTGTAATGTAATGGTGTGAAATTGTAAATAATATCAGACTGAGTGACTAGGATAGATGGTCCAAGTAGGCTGTATGGTAAGGCCTTCCTTTCTATTGAGAGCTGTGGGATTAAGCATTATATGGAAAGCTTCAGCTACTCTTCTTTCTTTGTAGTTAGAAAAACCTTTCTGTAGTATTTTGATATTTTTGAAATCAATTTGATGACCGTTGAAAATGGCGTGAACTGCTATTGCTGATTTAATCTGAAGTCTTTCTAATTCTACAGGATTATTAGGTGGTTTCTTTGTGTACCTGATATGTTCTTTAGCGCGAGTTAAGATTTCGCGAGATGACTCTCCAATATAGAAGGCATCACAATCGACACAACCTAATTTGTAGACGCAGTTCTGTGTAGATATGAATGGTATTTTTTCTTTTAATCGAACTAAAGTATTTCGGAGTGTGTTAGTTGTTTTGTAATATACTTTAATTCTGTGTTGTCTTAATATCCGTTGGAGTTCTTCAGTTGTGCCATGACGGTATGGTAAGACTGCAGTACCAATCCATGGCATTTCATTCGAATTATTATTATTGCGTACTGAATTGTCTTGTTTTAATATACTTCTAATAATCTTCATAGGAAAATTATTAAATTGTAAGATGCTAATTATATTCTTTTGTTCTTTTTGTTTGTCCTCTTCTGAAGAGATGATCTTGTTGGCTCTTCTAACAAGATTTAAGGCTAACGAAATTTTAGCACTGAAAGGATGTGCTGAATGGAAGTCGATGTAACGATTAGAGTGTGTGGGCTTTCGGTAGATGGATAAATTTAGAACTCCATTTATATTTCTTTTCACTAAGCAATCTAAGAACGGTAGCTCTCCATGTTCATTTTCATTCTCATTCGTGAATTTGATGTGAGATGAAAGTGTATATATCTGTTTTGAAGACGATCTTAGATGCGTCTTTTTTATTACTACAAATGTGTCATCTACATATCTGAGCCAAATTCGTGGTTTAATTTCGTTGGAGAAAATCTTTGATTCTATGTGTGTCATAAAAAGATTGGCCACAATCGGGGACACGGGAGAACCCATTGCTACACCATTTGTTTGTCTGTATAACGTTCCGTTAAAGGTGAATAGAGTTGAATTTAAGCAGAGTTTTAACGATCTCATGATTAAACTGATGCTTAAAGGACATCTGTCCGATAGAGTAATGTCATTCTCTAGTAAGCCACTAATGAATTCTAAGCATATATCAATTGGAATACTAGTATATAAAGATACAACATCAAAGCTTACCATGACTTCATTCTTTTCAATAATTAAATCCGATAATTTTGATTTAAAGTCATATGTATCTTTAATCATATTATGTACGTTAAGCTGTAGTGGCTTTAATATGTTGCTTAGATATTTAGATAAAGCATATGTTGGTGTGTTGGTAAAATCTACTATCGGTCTTAGAGGAATATCTGGTTTGTGAATTTTCGGTAAACCATAGAACCGTGAAGTATTCCATGATTTGGGATACAAAGCAAACCAAAGCGAAGCCCCAATGACTGGTTTTAGCTCTTTCAAAAGTTCACTTGTATCTGATTTGACTTTGTTTTTCATCGTTTGAGAATTTGATTGATTGATCTTTTCATAAGGTCCTGTTGCAAGATGTTCAAGAGCTTTATTAACATAATCTATTCTATTCATGACTACTGTTGTGTTACCTTTGTCTGCTTTCGTGATTATGATCGTTTTGTCCTTTTTAAGTGAATGTAGGGCCTTGTATTCTTCTTTTGAGATGTTTGGTGTAGATTATGAAGATTATTAGAAGTATATTAAAACAAGACAATTCAGTACGCAATAATAATAATTCGAATGAAATGCCATGGATTGGTACTGCAGTCTTACCATACCGTCATGGCACAACTGAAGAACTCCAACGGATATTAAGACAACACAGAATTAAAGTATATTACAAAACAACTAACACACTCCGAAATACTTTAGTTCGATTAAAAGAAAAAATACCATTCATATCTACACAGAACTGCGTCTACAAATTAGGTTGTGTCGATTGTGATGCCTTCTATATTGGAGAGTCATCTCGCGAAATCTTAACTCGCGCTAAAGAACATATCAGGTACACAAAGAAACCACCTAATAATCCTGTAGAATTAGAAAGACTTCAGATTAAATCAGCAATAGCAGTTCACGCCATTTTCAACGGTCATCAAATTGATTTCAAAAATATCAAAATACTACAGAAAGGTTTTTCTAACTACAAAGAAAGAAGAGTAGCTGAAGCTTTCCATATAATGCTTAATCCCACAGCTCTCAATAGAAAGGAAGGCCTTACCATACAGCCTACTTGGACCATCTATCCTAGTCACTCAGTCTGATATTATTTACAATTTCACACCATTACATTACAAATCAAACTCTATCCTTTGTTGGCATATAATTCCCATTTAACATTAAAATTAAAAACACGAATTTCAGCGAAGGGATCTCTTTTCAACGAATTTATTATCAAGCTGTACAATCGTATATATATATATCCTTTGTAATTATAAAGGTCACACAGTTTTCATTATTAACAGTGCATACATACACACAAAATTACATACATGTCGCTTATGAATCACCTTGACCGAAATGAAATGACGTGACAGTGATTTATTCAGACCTGTTTTTGATTGATCACCTAATTATTCTTTGATTGTTCCGTTGTACTATTTTAACTTGGATTAATGTTAATTTGGTTATTTATTCTCTGAAGAAGTGGCTTACACTGAGTCACGAAACGTCAGAAAATCTAATTTTTCTACTCATTGGGATATTACAAATATATTATTTATTTATAACAATCTACCCAATGCTCAATTTATTCAAAATTATCAAATCAAGACTTGGTAATGATACCTATCAAACAAATACTTTCGAATGCTTAAAAATTGTGACGAAGGGACGGAGTTAATCTAAAATACATGATGTGCTTGACTCAGTCCATTTCAAAAAATCTGACCACACATTTACTTACCAAAACAATGCATGTGAAAACTAGTGTAGGTCATCTAAGTAAACGGCCAAATAGACAAAATGTTATTATCAGAAGTATATAAGACAATATGGCTGAGTATAGTAGTAATAACTGGTTTTCACGTTGTCGTTGGCATTGAAATTGATTATGAATTATCAGGTCAGGTTAGAAACGAACGAATTACTTCTGGATATCTAACGAAGACTCATATTTTCATTTGATTAGGAGTCATAAACTTGAAAATGCACCTAATGCAGTTCCTATATATGGGCTTGAGAGGTATCAAAAGGTTATTTCTATCACTTATTTCGGTTTCTTGCTTTGCCTTCGCTTATCTGGGATTGAGGGCCTAACGAAATACGAAGTCATTTCAGTCACATCTACCAACTGAATAGGTTGATTACTATTTTCTACGTATATATCCATACACTTTCAAACCAATGAAATTAATAGGATGTTGAAAAGATCGTTGAATCTAAAGCTTCACATCACAGACTAACTTTAAGTAGATAACCAATGAAAGCGAGGAAGCACTGGCCAGTTATTTCATTCTAATGTAGAGATTCTCAACAGTGCGCATCTACGACGTCATCTCTTTAGGTCTCTTGGTGAGCACCTAACATTCTGATCACAATTTATACTTCTGACTCCAATCAATTCACGATATCGTGTGACCAACATCTATTGGGGTTGGGGTCATTTGTATCACATCCCACTGGTCATGGTTTCTTACTGTGACTCTGAGATTTATCTCTCAAAGTTAGTCAACAGTAAACACTTGGTGATTGTTATCATATGGTATCGGTAATATCGTTAAATTTTGCTTATTCATTTTTATGATATTGACGTCCATGTAAAAATACGAGTTTTGTTGTCTTAATGAAGATCAATCTGGCAGTTTCATGTCTTTTTTGGTCTATTTCCAGCCTCCGTTTCCCTTTGTTCAGTATAGGAAAGGGGTTTTGATATTAACTAATATCTATGTTAGGGTAAAAACTTTCGTAGCTATCTATTTTATAGTGGTGTCTCAGTCGCCCATAGTAATATTTATACTCTTTTCCACTTGGAAACAAATGAAAACTGTTACTTCAGAGAGAGTGGTTGTACAAACTTCTTTTGGATGCAAAGGTTTGATTTGTAAACATGGATTTCACCATGCGGCAAATGTGATGGAATGTTGTGAATAACCTTAAAAGCTTTGTTCAAGTCAACTTGATGACCTGTGTCGACCAAGTGAGTGAGAATAGAACTATCTTGATCACTCTTACCTGTCCTTTGCTCGACCAAGACGGATGGTATTCTGCAATGCGATGACGCACTTGCCGAATTGTACGTCCTATATAACTGGCTCCACAGGAGCATTTGGATTGGTAAATACACATGAGTTTAAAGCAATTAGTCCCTTATTACATTATCGAGACACATGAGTTTGTTGAAGTCAGGCAATCTGTCTTTATTAGCTGTTCTCATTATAGGGTGGTTGTAGCCATGATGAAAAACTAATGGAAGAGAAATTTCCCTCGGTTCGTTCTTTTTTATCAGATACCGAAATGGGAATTCTCAATGAATTTATAGTTCACCAAGTGGATGTAATTGTGTTAGGCTTATATGATCGTTTTGGCTAACATTATCATCAGCTTCCAATTTCCCTTTTAACGCTTTTAGATCTCCACTGACTTCAGTTCTAAGTCTGATGATAATTCGTGCTTGTCTACAGTTCCCTCTAACAATGATTGCTTTCAAATCTATTTGGACAAGTGCACCTAACGTTTCATTCTGTAAGTCATTCAATCAAATTTTATTTATATCAGTATGTGTAATGTTTTGGTACTCTATTTCATTTAATGATAGTTTAGAATAATGTGAATTAAAAAGTCAAGTTATATAGTGTGTTATTTGTAATATTAAGAAATGCCCCATTACATTATCGAAGTTTATAAAAGGGATTAAATTTTAAATTAATAAAATTGGATTGTCAAGGGGACAAAAAAAATTATGATAGATTAAAGACCAAAGATACTGTAGTGTGGTCTACTTATATCCATATAAGTAGTATATGGTAGTATATGGTGATGATCAGACATAGAATGTATTTTTGCAGAAGACCGATAAGGAAAGAACTGATATGAAGTGCAATAGGTAGGAAAATGCATGAACAATGTAATTAGAGAAGATGGGCTGATATTTACAGAAGAAACAGTAGAGATTGAGACAATTGATTAATAGCTTGCAAATTAACTATTTGCTGTATGGTTATCAGATCTTAGTAAGATAGTTTGTAATTTGTGCTTAAATACATTCGGTTTTCCCCACTCGTGTTCTTGTTCACTACAATGCAACTCTACTATGAGAGATTTTGGTCTGATTTCACAGAAAGGTAAATAAAAATAAACATAAATTAGAAATCGAATATAGACAATCATATAAAATACAGAGATTGTTATGACTTGTGGCCCAGTTGAACATCATGTGACTTATTCGTCAATCGGAATACGACTTATACAATCTTAACATTGTGTTGTGCCACAACAATGATATATTGACCGGTATGAGCAGCCTAGCATCATTATTGATCCTTTTTCCCACCTAGCATTGCTTGTTGAGTCCAGAACGCCAATATCAACTTTCTCTATACGAATCATTTATTTCGGACATACTCAGTTTATATACAAGCAAACCAGACCACATCATACCCTAAAATTAAAAATAACCATTGTAAAAGATCAAGACAAAAAGTGGTTGTGAATGGGAGACTGTAATTAATTAACTGGGCATAACTTAAGGGTAGTAAAGCTTATAATTAGAGGGATATGAATATAAATAATCTAAGAATACATGTATAATATTAATCCATTAACAGCTCTCAGAAGTCACCTATAATGTAATCTTCGCTAGGATTTAACATAGATATGTTGGCTTGTCTTGTAAATCCACCAGTACCGAGTGATTTTATTATTTTGGTGTATTTGGCATGTGGCTAGCAATAGAATCCAGGTGGCATAGTTCGTCCTGGTTGAGACCCATCAGCTAGACATACCTTCATTCCTGTGTTGATGTTTACATTGAAACTCGAATCTAGTATCTTTCATTCAATGAGTTATTCACTAATCTACTGACTCCACTTAGCCACTACAACAGGTATGGATGCATTATTGTCTGTTCGTAATTTCCCATTGTTGATATTCAGAATTGGACTATCTGAACTCATTAAGTAGCACAACAAATAGTGCCCTGGGATTTGAAGGGAAAGGTTGTGGGTCAAAATCCTATTATATGAACAACAACAGTGAGATGTAGGCAAATCGAGGTAACGATTCCCAAATGATTTCCACTTCTAGTCACATACAAAACATTCTATAGCTTGATACATAATGTTAGGTCAAGGCAATCCGGTCAGGATGCACATATGGGAACAGATGCTGATCAGTTGAAGTTATAACTATCAATTCTTGCTCTCCTCAAGTTGGTAAAGAGAAATGTGTGTTTAAATAATTAGTATCTTCGTCCTGTGTAAATTCTTTCTAGAAAGTATCATTTTCCAGATTAGAATCAATCTCGAAGTTTTATTCTATTATCCGAAAACCCCCCAGTGTACTGTAAGTAAAGGAATGTAAAACTCGTTCTACAGTGACGATGAAAAACAATCCATTTCTCCAAATACTGTTTATTTATACCATGATATCGTGAATGAATGCATAAAGCTATTGAGGTTGCCTGGCTCTTTGATGTTAATATGATTTGTATTACTGTTAACAAGAAAGAAGTCTTATTGATAAGTATCAATTAAATGAGACTTATTGAAGCAGAATGGGAATCAGAAATCTAGCGCGCTATCCTTACCATCTGTTGTGGTGACGTTTGGTAAGAATTTTACAATTAATTTCGGTTTCTTTAAGAAAATCTTTAGGTTTATCAAATTTTTAAGTTTTATTACGAGACAGAATTTACTAAAGTTATCGTTTATTCTTGTCTCGTTACTGGATATTCAATAATAATCATGTCTTTCAGTATGGGGTTGTGGAGGTTGTTGAATTTTATTGAAATCATGGGTCGATCTAAGTTAAACCACTATTCAAAATCTAGAAGCACTGAATGGTTGTTTCGTCCACGCATGGGGCTCCTCAGCAGTGTACATCCACAATCCTGCATGCGGGAATCAAACCAAGGATTTTTAGTTTCGCGCACGGATGTTTAACTTTTAAACCACTGATCCAGCATACAAAGGTGCTTGTTTTCGGACGTTCTGATTGATTTTTATTTATTTATTTAAACACATAAATATTGGTACAAGGAAGCACCAGATACATATGCGCCTCACAAATCTCACTCGATTTGTGTGAGGCTGCCCAGGTGCCCAGACTGAAACAGGTGGTTTTCTTAGGGGGCCACTCCCCGAGCCTTTGACTTACAGATCTGATCCACAAGGCAGTGGAGAATCGTAAGGAGATGCAGTCCCATGGTAGCTGGTGACCAGCGATTGGTTCATACGCCATTTGTTCCTTCAGGATACTGTAGCCCATGTGCACCACTGGTTTGGAATCAGGGTTTTCCAACTCCACTAGGTGAACTTTCCGTGTCCACCAACCCGGTTAAAGCGCCTGACATTCTCTTTTCGTCCTCTCAATTTCGTAAACAACAGTAATGCGACGAGAAGGCAATGAGTAGAACTTCTCTGACAGAGGTTATATATTCGCGTGTCCATATGAGAGCATTTGGAGAGGGAGAACGGACTCTCCCCACTCTCGGCCGTACCAGAGCATTTGGGGTCTCTGATTGATTAATACTTTTATATCGAATCATGAAGATAGTTGATTAGTTTGAGTTTCAATTGGTTCTTCTCATAATTCAAAATAAAAAGCAGAGTTTGGAAGAAGGAGATAACTTTTCATTAGTTTAACGAATATATGTTTTATGTAATTCTTGTATTAATATTTACTTTCGTATTTTCTTTTTTTATTCATTTAGGGATAGGTTGTTTATTGATGGATAGTTTACTAGTTGTAAGTGGAGGGATTACAACAATTATGTTCACTTTGATGATGCATTGTACATGTTCTGAAACATCTAAAGCTTATCAAGCAACTCATTATTCTATATTAAGTACGGCAGAATTATTGGGGAAACTTTTATTTAGTACAATAGCTGCATATTTTACAGATTTATTCGGATATGGAATTGCTTATTTATGCTTTTTAATTTTATCTATACTTCCAATTCTATATGTTTATAAATACTCTGGGAAATTTCGATTTCTTCCCTAAATAGTTATCTAACTCGGTAAGTTTTATCTTGATAATCGGCTATAACTATCGGTCAATCCAAGACTTGTAACCTTGAATAACAAGTTTATTTATCCATTGGTTCATATGTTATAGTGTAACATGTTCTCATAAGCAATACTATTCTTTCACTAAAGAAAAAAAATTAAAAGTGTATTAATTCAGTGATGAAATTATACGATAAATGAAAATTAGACTTCAATTATTTTCATAGTTGAAAGCGTGAATCAATTGAAGCAAGGCAACCAGGGAAAATCTGGAAGCACTGGATGGCCGTTTCGTCCTATTGTGGGACTCCTCTGCAGTGCGCATCCACGATCCTGCACTCGCGAGATTCAAACCCAGGACCTACCAGTCTCGCACCAGAGCACTTAACCGATAGACCACTGAGCCAGCATCTGGTGGTGTTTATGTCCAACTCCAACCAATCCACGAATTTAAAAAAAAAGAATTGCAAACGAAACCTTTTCTATCAGCATCATAATGTGTTGCGAATCATTTTCAATCTAAACTTTTAAAAATGAATCGTATACAATGATTCAGATTTATGTACACTTTCTTATCTGCCTAAGTATAACTCCGTTTTCCATCAACTATATACGTTGCTAGTCTATGAAGGTGGTAATTAGTGGCAGATATCATCCTTCACATAACATTTGATAACCCGTTTTATATATGGTCCGAAAAAAGAAATTACATAATTAACTCATGTCTATCCTTCGAAATTCAAACTGTGTGATGTCTAGCTACATATTTTAATACAATCCACGGTCAACCAAAATGTTGTCGGCACTAAGAGAGCTTGTAAATCAATTCATAGTTAGTCCGTCAGTCACAACGTAGAACTTCGTACGCACATACATCAGTTCGAGTTGCCATGCCACATTAGCACAGAGATACAATTATCGATTCCAATCCCATGGTGGTAGAAGTAGTAAGAGCATAATCATTATGTGAAAGATTAAGATATGAAGATGTTATTGAAGGAGTATAATACAGTGAAATAAATTTGAAAGGAGAAAAAGGATAGGGACATGAGGAATTCAGAGAATTAGGATTTGGTAGAACACAAAGAGTGGATGCACCTTCGCCATTTCAAACGATTTTGAGCCATGTCATTCAAGGTCTCTAACCATCGATTGCTATCATGTCGCTAATCACAACCAGGTAGTCTACACCTACCAACATGTCTCAGTCCACTTGTCAGTGACTTCATGGATTTGTGCTACGTTTTGGTCTGGTCGCCCCTAGCTTACTTCCAACCTACTCCTACACCAGTGACCATACCGCGTTGAAATCAATTTATGTGTGTCATAGTTTTTGTAAAAATTAAGTTGCTTTTCAAACAGTTTCACATCAATTTATTTTCTCTAAAATACCAATTGTTGCCCAACATAATGTATCATTGACCGAGTGAAAGATCTGATCCATAAGACAGTGGCGCATTGTGAGGAGATGCATTTCCATGGTAGCCGGTGACTAACAATAGGTTCATACGCCATTTGTTCCTTCAGGATGCTGGAGACCATGTGCACCATTGGTTTGGAATCAGGGTTTTCCAACTCCCCTAGGTGAACTTTCCGTGTCCACCAACCCGGTTAAAGCGCCGTACATTCTCTTTTCGTCTTCTCAATTTCGTGAACAAAACCTGTGGCACGATAAGGCAGTGAGTAGGACTTACCTGTCAGAGGCTGTATACGCGTGGCCATGTGATAGCATTTGGAGAGGGAGAGCGTACTCTCCCCAATCTCGGCAGTACCAGGGCATCTAGGGGGCTCAGGTTCTTCTTAGTGTTGATTGAACGTTATCTATCAAGTTGTAATGTAGCCACTAGTCTAAGTAACTCTTTTTAGTTTAAAAGAGTTTTTCGATACTATCCATTCTTCCCAATTGTTCATCTTTCTTTTTAGATTCAGTTTACTTGCTAATTACAAAAGGTTGAAACAATCTGAAATTGTTGACTATGTAAATAAATGAAATTGGATTGTGCCAAATAAACTAAAAAAAATTCGAGTTGAAAGTTTTTTTAAGCTCATGCTACTCACTAGAGGAACAGTTTTTATTTTACAAAGAAGGAAATCTATACGAAATTATAAGTAAATTAATTATTTGGTTAATGTTGTGTGAGCTACTTATATTCACATAAGTAGTATATGGTGATGGTCGAGCAAAGAATGTATTTTTGTAAATGATCGATAAGGAAAGAATAAGAACGAAGCGCAATCAGTATGAAAATGCATGAACAATGAGATCAGAGAAGATGGACTGATATTTACACAAATAACAGTAAAGATTGAAACCGTTTGTTTTATATTTTGCAAATTAACTGTTTGCTGTATGGTTATCAGAATTTAGTGAGATAGTTTGTAATTTGTGTTTAAATACATTCAATTATCCCCACTCGTGTTCTTGTTCACTACACTAGTAGTAGGGAAAAATTCATTTATTCTATAGTTTATCTACTTACATCTGATTGTAATTGTATTGTGATTGTTTTTTTTTTCATTGGATAACTCCATTACTTTCTTTTCTATTAATGTTTGATAGTATGGATATGTTATTTTTTGACCTTACATTAAACTGTAATTGACCTATTTTGTAATATATGGGATATTTCTTCATTTTTGGGCTTTCTAAAATATATATTCGTTTGTAATTGGTTGTTGACTTTTATCAATAAAGTATAAGTTTAAGCGAATTTAGTTTCCATTTGATATCTAATTTTGCACAGTTTGTTACGTAATCCAGACTTTAAATAAATTTCTAGTGACTTGAGTTATTACATTATTGATACTATAACTGAATTTAGACCACTCAGTCAATCACAACGTAGAACTTCGTACGTACGTACATCACTTCGAGTTGCCATACCATATTACCACAGAGATACAATTATCGATTCGAATCCCATGGTGGTAGAAGTAGTAAGAGTATAAACATTAATGTGAAAGATTAAGATATGAAGATGTTATTGAAGGAGTATAATACAGTGAAATAAATTTGAAAGGAGAAAAAGGATAGGGACATGAAGAATTCAGAAGATTAGAATTTGATAGAACACAAAGAGTGGATGCACCTTCGCCATTTCAAACGATTTTGAGCCATGTCATTCAAGGTCTCTAACCATCGATTGCTATCATGTCGCTAATCCCGACCAGGTAGTCTACACCTACCAACATGTCTCAGTCCACTTGTCAGTGACTTCATGGATTTGTGCTACGTTTTGGTCTGGTCGCCCCTAGCTTTCTTCCAACCTACACCATAAACATTGCACGTCGGGGCAGTCAGTGGTTGGGCATTTGTAACATGTGTCCAGCCATTTCAACTGATGAAGTTTCACTACTTCAATTGATTTTCCATGCTTACGTAGTACCTGTTTCCTAACAACTGCATTACTTACCCGGTGGTCTCAGTATATACGAGCAATCCTTCGAAGACATCTATGATCGAATACTAGTAACCTACGTATATTCTATACTCTTGCCGGTCACGTTTTACTGCCTTAATTTCGACCAGTATGAATTGACATAATTGCATCTCTGTGCGGAATAACTTGATATATTTATTATGTCAAGTTTTTATGGCATCTGAATAGTAACAGAATCCAGAACGTATACGTCTTCCTATTTGGGACCCATTGCAGATTGAACATTATTTCTTAGATGCGGTTAATTTGGATTTATCTGAATTGCAACAAGACTGACAATGTCTGTGCATAAATATCCTTGCTATCTTTTTTTTTCATAGTAGATCATGCGTGACGGTGTTAGGTATATAGTGCGTTGTGTTCCAAGAAGAATGAAGAAAAAATAACCTAATCCGGTCATGTCACTGCATGTTTTGCCAACTCAATAATTCGATTTCTTTCCATATTTAGTTCACTGTTTTCCATATTGATGAGAGCCTAACTTCGTTTTGCACCTCCATCTAAATAGTATGGTCTTTCCTCCCTCTCCATGTTTCACTAGTCTTATAATTCACTGACGGATCAGTTCTATTGTATTATTTATTTACAGTATCCAAGAATCTGTATAGAGAAATGTTTCTTTTTAGCAAGCATTCATTACCATAGCTATGCATTTGTAAACAATAAGAAAAGCATGGCAAGTTTTGAAGGTATCTTACTAGTGGTCTACTTTTATCAGGTTATGAAATTGTTGCGCCAGTGGAATGTCACTAAGCCCTGTCTAAATCATCCAGCAGCAGGTGAATAAATGTCGAACAATTTAAGCTAAAAGACAACCAACTATGGACAGACGCATGCGGCTGTGGTCTCGCTTTGTATTGTGCAATATAATAATACTAATATATCATGGTGCCTTTTGGGAGTATTTATTCTAGCCAGTCACATGAGAAGTTGATTCACCTAGTTGTCACGATGAAATAATTTGAATCAAGTTATAACAGCTAAGTGACTTCAATGTAAGCTAGGAGGTCACACTATTTCCTTCCGACTTGAGTAGATCTCAATCATAGACACAGGTCACTTACATTGGTGATCTACATAACTATTTCCACAATTTATAAGAAACCAATGTATTAGTAGATATTAAGAATTAAACCATAATTATAGTAAAAATGATAAGTGCGTTAATATCTTTCTTCATTGCTATGACAAGTAGTTTTAATACACTCATTAAGCAATATCAGTATGATTCCATCTGTTCACTCTCTCCTTTCGGATTGAGGAGGTGAACTGCATCATGATCTCGTTAACGATGTCCCAATTGGTTGTCCACAAGTGAGCCAAAATCTGAGATGAATACTATGGTACTAAGATGTTCAAATTAAGTAGTGTTTCGACGGGGTAGTCAATCCCCTAGCATATCAAACATCAGAATCAGCATTTTATTGCCCCTTGTATGAGTTTATTATTTTCGGACAACGATGACGTTTGTGCCCCGCTTAACTTCGTATATTTGTCCATCTAATTTGCGTTAGTAAATAATGCAATGAAGTTCGAGAATAATTTTAAATACATACAATTCACACATGCATCAATGCAAACGGACAGTCAGAGATGGTGAACGCGTCTTCTGAATTTATTTAAAGCTTACTTGAATATCTGGACCACCCGTTCCTGCAATCTAGATTTTTCGACAAGTTATTTAAATTCGTTTGTTTTAATACATCCTTACGTCTATTAATCACATAACTTATTCAGGAGCGTTTATCAAATGTTTATGGCCTTTTGCTGTACCAGTTAAAAAAGTACATTTAGAGACATCGTAATGTCTGGTAATATAAATTGAAAAGAATGAACATTATTCACATGTCATTTCTTAGACTTCTGACATCAGGATCGATGAAGAAATAGGAAAGGGAAACTTGTTGAGATACATTGTACTGAGAATTCTGCATTATACCATACAATATTATTGAATAAAACCATTAACGATGATAATGACCAAACATTCATTATCATGATAAATTCAGGCGAGTGTATCGATACATACTGTTATCCACGCATGCCCACGGTCACACAAATAAATGACGGAATAACTAGTAAGATCAAGATAGCTCTTTTGTCTTAAAGCTAGGGAACTTCACAATGGTGTGTAATAAAATGAAGGCTTTTACAGTGAGCACTAAAGGTACTAGCACTAGAGATATCCTGCTTAAACGTCATCCAGGTGTACTGAATATCACAATGATAATATTGCTTGATATGTCCCTCCACTTTGCATGCTCTGTGTTATTATAATTCAGTATTTAGCTGGTGTCTATGTTTACCGACCCCTCAGCATATTACTGCGGTAGCATTGTAACAACTTGAACTGGTTGGTTCAGAGTTGGTCGAAAAAGGCTTTGTAATGTTAAACCATTATTGCTCAAGTGTTTGTTTTTAATTACTTCGCGTTGTATTTATATTTCCAATTATAACAATATTTAAATCACACAACCGGCTGATTACAGTGAAATTCAATGGGGATGATGTACTGAAGGCCACAAGCTCCTCAGGCTTAGACATATGGCGCCTGAATGTCGATTTCTATCTGGAATCTTCCAGTACGCCGAATGCGCCCGATTACCAAGTGCGAAAACACATAGTCGAAAGGAAATTTTTTGTATCTAGTCTATTTTATATGCATATACACTCACTTAAGTATACCTTTCAGTCCCTTATGTTAGTTATGTCCATGACTAACTAATCAAACTGTTGCTTAAGCTCCCTCCACGTCAATCTGGACTGATGTGTCTGTAAACTATTCCTATTGAATGTGAACTACCAATTGAAAGACATTATTATCCTATCATATTAGTGTGACTGTGATGTTTAAATAAATCAATGACTTCTTAGTATTGATGACTGTTGTAATTTTGAATTCCAAATACAATACATTCGTTCGAGTTCATCTGATACTTCTTGATTAAATTGCGTTATTCCTGGGATTACTAGTTCATACTACAATTCAAATACTTCTAATTATCATGTTGGCGTCGCGACTGAGCCTGTGATGGAACGGTTAAATATAAATTCAGATTTTAATGCTTTTGAGGAGTACATGGAAAGGTTCGAAATCTGGGCTATGACCAAGGAAGATGATGAGGATTTTAATATTGTGGCCCATTTCCTTACATTCATCGGGAAAGAAGCATACAGCCTTATAAAGATTTTGGCACTTCCAGACAAACCGATTTCACTCCCCTATGCAACTCTCAAGCAACTTCTGTTGGATCATGTAAAGTATACAAATTCCGAATGCGGTAAGAAAGGAAAATCCGATAAAATGACTCGTCAGAACATCAGGAATTCCACTTATTCAAACAGTCGTCGTAGTTCGATGCGTAATCAAATTTATTCAGATAATACTTCATTGAGTTGTGAAACAGTCCATGATGATGAGCACAAGTTTAGTAAATGCATGTTCTGCGGCAAGTTTCACCCATGTAATTCATGTATATTTCGTAATTCTAAATGCTTTAAATGTGGTATAACTGGACATATTCAGTCAGTTTGTAATACCATGGTTCATTTCGCTGAAAGTAATGCTAAGATGGATGCTTCTAATGATCAGTTATCTTTATCTAGAAGAGGTATAACGTTATATAACAGTCCAGAGTTGAATGAAACCCAGAGTCATTGGGAGGCGAAAATTCTCAACCAATCAACTTATCGGATTTCTCATGTTATTGTATCAGATATGGTTTGTCGTAATAATTCACATACTTCTGATGTAATTTCTTACAACTCTGAGAATAGAATGTTAACTGAGTCAAATCATGATCAAAAACCAAATTCAGTCATGGTAGATGTTGAATTCCCTGATGATCCATTACCTAATGAAACTCTTAATCAATTTGAGGAAAATATTTCAGAAGAATCGAATTCTGATATCATATCAAGTGTCAGTGGTCCTCATAATGAATTTATCTCTAATGATATTCCTCATGAATGTGAAAAATATGTTTCTTATGAATTGAATTCTAGTCATATTTCTGATGTTATTGTGTCATATGTTGGATACTCTCACGAACAATGCATGTTGAATAGAATCCCTAGTCAGGGGTATAATGATACAGAGGGGATAGCAAAATTTTCCGAAGCAACCAGAGAACCAGTTTGCCCAGAAGTGAAGTTTGCACAGACAGAGAATCCAAATCAAGTCCAAGATTATCCTAATGAATATGAGGCAGATGAATGTTTTCTATCCGATTGTTTCGCAGGTAAATCAAGCCTAATTGAATCACGTGTGTTAATTACATATATCAATGTATATCCATCTGTGTATTCTAATATGAATAACAAAAAGAATATGTATCATGATTTTTATTCAAGTCAAAGTCACATGATGGAATACCTCAAATTATATATCAGTGTTTATTCCCAAATACTCACATACAGTAGTCGGTGCGTAAGATTTGAGATAATGCAAATTGGGAACGTCATATTGGCTAAAACATTGCGAATCAAGGACCCAACATTATTTCGTGGGGGAGGATATTGTTGGAAAGTCCATGATGCAAATTCTAAATATCAATGGTTTCACTACACAACCGACATGCTGATTGTATACAATTCTAGAACCCAGGTGAGTCTGTTCCAATTTCCGTTGTTAATTCTAATACTAATGAGTGCATTCTAGATAATACAGAGTGTACATTCAATACACCATCGGACAGATGTAGGATGAACTTAAGAAGAAGACAAACAATCGATTACAGACACTTACACTTCAATTCGAGCTGTGGCGGATGTGATGTTTAAATAAATCAATGACTTCTTAGTATTGATGACTGTTGTAATTTTGAATTCCAAATACAATACATTCGTTCGAGTTCATCTGATACTTCTTGATTAAATTGCGTTATTCCTGGGATTACTAGTTCATACTACAATTCAAATACTTCTAATTATCATAGTGACTAATAAATTTTTTTCATTTTATTAAGATACGCAATACTGGACGGTATTTTTGTGCGTTTCAGTTAATGGCTGTAATTCTTTAATTATTGTACTAATCTAATTGTTTTTATGTTCAGAAACAGATAAAGTTTAAAGCCAAGTTGCCCTTGTTCTGACTATAGCTTTCACAGAGACTCTGGGATCACCAGTATCGCTTTTACAGTTTTAATAGTATATCTGTAGGACAAAATAAATCCTACACCTTAGTAAGTTAAGTACACTGGTGTTAAGTGGTTTAATGCTTATAAAATAAATTCATTCCTTGGAAAAAAGAATATAAATGTCATTTGGTAATTTCTGACTAGTGCAATGTACTGTTCTTGAATGGTACTATTTAATCGGCCCATCGCATTACTGATAATTTGTCAAACAGTACACAACATGGTTTTTGTGAAGGATTGTCATACACATCTGAGATTAGTCGCTCGATAGTGGAAGACTGCCAAGTGATATCTACGTTGGCTTCAAAAAAAGTTTCGAGGAGGTTTCATAAACTCAACTTCTGTTTAAGTTAGTATCTCTAGATAACCGCCCAGAAGTGTAGTGGTGGGTCCTCCATAGAAAAATAACATAACACTTATAAACTAGTGCCTGGCAGATTATAGTAAGCCACCATCCTAGGTCATTAAATGTAAATAACCCACGTGAATGAAGTCCTGGTATATTAGATTCCCGACGCTATTTTACGCTGGTCACATTGAAAATTGAAGAGAAATAGCGGAAGATGCCGACGCACAAGAAATTCGCGCCAATCTAGACATTCTAGCAGACTAGTCCAAGTCACGTTTAATGACTATCAGTGAGGACAAATGTAGCTACATATACTCTGGACATGCAGTTACCAATAAATAAAAAACTGAGTAAAAATCAACGCTGTTGTAAGGCCAGTGAGATGTTATTGAGCCCTAGTATGATAATTAGAAGTATTTGAATTGTAGTATGAACTAGTAATCCCAGGAATAACGCAATTTAATCAAGAAGTATCAGATGAACTCGAACGAATGTATTGTATTTGGAATTCAAAATTACAACAGTCATCAATACTAAGAAGTCATTGATTTATTTAAACATCACATCCGCCACAGCTCGAATTGAAGTGTAAGTGTCTGTAATCGATTGTTTGTCTTCTTCTTAAGTTCATCCTACATCTGTCCGATGGTGTATTGAATGTACACTCTGTATTATCTAGAATGCACTCATTAGTATTAGAATTAACAACGGAAATTGGAACAGACTCACCTGGGTTCTAGAATTGTATACAATCAGCATGTCGGTTGTGTAGTGAAACCATTGATATTTAGAATTTGCATCATGGACTTTCCAACAATATCCTCCCCCACGAAATAATGTTGGGTCCTTGATTCGCAATGTTTTAGCCAATATGACGTTCCCAATTTGCATTATCTCAAATCTTACGCACCGACTACTGTATGTGAGTATTTGGGAATAAACACTGATATATAATTTGAGGTATTCCATCATGTGACTTTGACTTGAATAAAAATCATGATACATATTCTTTTTGTTATTCATATTAGAATACACAGATGGATATACATTGATATATGTAATTAACACACGTGATTCAATTAGGCTTGATTTACCTGCGAAACAATCGGATAGAAAACATTCATCTGCCTCATATTCATTAGGATAATCTTGGACTTGATTTGGATTCTCTGTCTGTGCAAACTTCACTTCTGGGCAAACTGGTTCTCTGGTTGCTTCGGAAAATTTTGCTATCCCCTCTGTATCATTATACCCCTGACTAGGGATTCTATTCAACATGCATTGTTCGTGAGAGTATCCAACATATGACACAATAACATCAGAAATATGACTAGAATTCAATTCATAAGAAACATATTTTTCACATTCATGAGGAATATCATTAGAGATAAATTCATTATGAGGACCACTGACACTTGATATGATATCAGAATTCGATTCTTCTGAAATATTTTCCTCAAATTGATTAAGAGTTTCATTAGGTAATGGATCATCAGGGAATTCAACATCTACCATGACTGAATTTGGTTTTTGATCATGATTTGACTCAGTTAACATTCTATTCTCAGAGTTGTAAGAAATTACATCAGAAGTATGTGAATTATTACGACAAACCATATCTGATACAATAACATGAGAAATCCGATAAGTTGATTGGTTGAGAATTTTCGCCTCCCAATGACTCTGGGTTTCATTCAACTCTGGACTGTTATATAACGTTATACCTCTTCTAGATAAAGATAACTGATCATTAGAAGCATCCATCTTAGCATTACTTTCAGCGAAATGAACCATGGTATTACAAACTGACTGAATATGTCCAGTTATACCACATTTAAAGCATTTAGAATTACGAAATATACATGAATTACATGGGTGAAACTTGCCGCAGAACATGCATTTACTAAACTTGTGCTCATCATCATGGACTGTTTCACAACTCAATGAAGTATTATCTGAATAAATTTGATTACGCATCGAACTACGACGACTGTTTGAATAAGTGGAATTCCTGATGTTCTGACGAGTCATTTTATCGGATTTTCCTTTCTTACCGCATTCGGAATTTGTATACTTTACATGATCCAACAGAAGTTGCTTGAGAGTTGCATAGGGGAGTGAAATCGGTTTGTCTGGAAGTGCCAAAATCTTTATAAGGCTGTATGCTTCTTTCCCGATGAATGTAAGGAAATGGGCCACAATATTAAAATCCTCATCATCTTCCTTGGTCATAGCCCAGATTTCGAACCTTTCCATGTACTCCTCAAAAGCATTAAAATCTGAATTTATATTTAACCGTTCCATCACAGGCTCAGTCGCGACGCCAATATGATAATTAGAAGTATTTGAATTGTAGTATGAACTAGTAATCCCAGGAATAACGCAATTTAATCAAGAAGTATCAGATGAACTCGAACGAATGTATTGTATTTGGAATTCAAAATTACAACAGTCATCAATACTAAGAAGTCATTGATTTATTTAAACATCACACCTAGTCAAATCATCAGGCGGTTGATTCCCTTCAAGACCAAGAACAACTAATGCGGATCAGTTAATCGTATGCTGTGGACTTGCCCGTACAGTGGTGACCGCAACTTCTCCCTTGTTGTACCAACTTTTACCAATACGTTTCTGTAATAACGTCCTTTGTGTTATACGGTCTTCAAAGCAGCCATAGTACCTTGATACGAATAAGAGGTAATCCGCATTAGGTGCTGATCACGAAGTGTGTTTTCGAAGTCAGATGTTTCGCCACACTATTTCCGTCTAACTAGAATAGGCTTTCAATCATTTGGCATAGATAATCTTCCTTGTCGATCTACACTGTCAGCTCTGAGTCACAACTATACAGTTGTAAAGGTATATATAGTCTTGAGACCACTTGTCACCGCTGTCCGATTTCATACGTTGTGATAGGACATTTAGGAGCGATACCTTGGAGGGAGTAAGGAGGACAGCTGCCGGTGCAATGAGGGAATTACGGAGCCTAACAGTACACAATGGGGGTTGAAAAGTTAGATATATTCTCTTCTTTGCAGATAATTAAGAGTCCATCTTGTTTTGGAGTATAAGTTACAGAAAAATACTTACTTTTTCCTTCTAGCAGAAAGAAAAATCAGAAGGGAATGGCGACGTAGCTCAAAAACTCAGAATAAAGAAATCACCGTGACAAAGTTTCCCACCGATTAATCAACACTTGAAATATGCTAGGAGAAAATATGGCATCTAAACCCTCAATTATCTCATTCAAGGGGAAATAAGACACTCACAGAGCTTTCTAGAAAACATCTAGCACAGGCTCTACGTTTTCTGTCTTCAGTATACAAATCTGAATCTGAAATGTAAAGTGGACACCAGACTTTTGATGTAATTTAGTGGCGCAGTAGGTTTCTGTAACTGGCTTCCTTCTGTACTGACTCACTTTTCCTTACGGATATTTGTTTGGTCAGGTTTTAAGCCTGATATAAAAACTGAAAGGGTTAAGCTATGAATAGAGTGAAAAACATTCCTTAATTAGGACCATCTGAACATTTCTGAATTTTTCGTGGTTTTAAACACGAAGATGAAATCGGAACGTTCACATCTTTCTTTAGATAAAGGATAGCTGTGAATTATTTAAGATATTGTTTACTACATTAACGATATCTGTATGCTCAATGGATAAATATCTGGGAAAAGAAATACTGTAGATTATCAGCGCAGATGATTTCTGTCGAATGATTGGAGGTCTACTGGAGTTAGACGGCGTGACGAACACAAAATCACTTAGGTAAAGACCATCTCAAAAATCCATACCATACACTCGGTACGTGCTTAATTAGAAGAGCTGCAAACAAACAGTAAGAATATGAAGAGTTTTCATTAAGAAGTATAGTAGGTCGGTGGATCTGTGTAAATCCTTACAAATTGTTTTCCAATTAAGAACCAATATTAAGAATCTTTGAAGAGACCGTAACCGTGAAAACGTGCTAATAAATAAACTCTTAAAAACTTTAAGTTAAACTATACGCCCATCAGCCACATTCAAACAAACGAGGAAAACACGATTGAAATTAAATCAGAGAACCTGTCAACAGGTCAGGCATCATTTAAGTGCGAATATAAAAAAATCCGGAATATATGTAAAAAGACCATAGCTAAATCCCGCACGGCTTACGAACGACAGTTGGCATGCGATAGCCGTACCTGTCCGAAGCGACTGTTTTCGTATGTTAAAAGGCGGACGAAACGTAGTGATGGTATCCCCTCATTACTGTTAAGCGAAAATTCAGATTTATTGGCTGAATCTGATCTGGCGAAAGCGGAGTTATTTGCTAACTATTTCAGTGAAGTCTACTCTGTGTAGTGTTACAACTACTTGTCCCGTTGACAATGAGATACCAGCCATAGGACCTTTACACGTGACAGAGGATATTGTTCTTCCTTTGATAACTAACCTAAAACCTTGTAAGATACCGGGCCCCGATGGGTTACACCCACGTTTATTGTCGTCGCTTGCGGACATTATCTCAAGACCGCTCACGATGCTCTTCAACATGTCCCTTTCACAGGCTCAACTACCTAGAGACTGGAAAGACGCCATAGTTAGTCCTATATTTAAGGATGGTCAGAGACGGATCGTATCTAACTACCGGCCTGTTAGCCTGACCAGTATAGTAGTTAAGTTACTTGAAAAATTAATTTGGGCTAAGCTACTGAGCCACATAGATTCGTACAATCTGTTAACTCCCGAGCAACATGGGTTTCGTAACAAGCATTCATGCTTGACTAACTTACTCATTGCGAGAGAGGATTGGACAGCTGCCCTAGACAACGGCCAGTCTGTCGACGTGATATTCATAGGTTTTAGCAAAGCGTTTGATAAGGTTTCACACTTAGGTCTTATGCAAAAGCTCTCGAGCTTTGGAATAACAGGTGCTATACAGGAATGGATAGGAAGCCTCTTATGCGACCGTAGACAGAGAGTGAGGATCAATGGAACGCTATCCGAATGGAAACCGGTCAAAAGTGGTGTACTCCAAGGCACCATCTTAGGCCCTCTACTTTTCCTTCTGTATATTAATGAACTACCTTTATTACTTAAGTCGTCGACGTTATTTTTTGTGGATGATGTTAAAATTTGGAGAACAATAAGAAATGAGACTGATCGTTGTTATCTGCAAGCAGATTAAGACGAATTAGTTAGGTGGGCTCATGATTGGGGCCTGGAAGTTAATTCCAGGAAGAGCGTGTTCATGCACATCGGGCACGATATTAGTTACCACTATACCATTAACGGTACATCTCTGCCACGTGTTCATGCGCATAAAGACTTAGGAGTAATTATAAGTCACGACTTAAAAACTACTACGCACTGCAGTGCGGTTGCTTCCAAAGGCTATCGCGCGCTATAGTCGCTTCGCAGAGCATTTAAATGCTTTGACGAGGAGAAGTTTCGAATTTTATATCCCACCTATGTAAGGCCACACTTAGAATACTGTATCCAAGCAGCTAGCCCATGTCTGATAAAGGATACTAAATCGCTTGAGCGTGTCCAGCGTGTAGGGACAAAATTAGTGAAGTGTCTTTCTAAACTCCCTTACGATGAGCGTTTAAAACGTCTAGACCTTTTCCCCTTATCTTATCGTAGGACGCGAGGTGACCTTATACTGGCATTTCGTATCTTTAATTATGATCTGGGTGTTAATATGTCTTATCTTTTTGCTCCCTCCAGCACTAATAATCTCCGGGGTCATAGCAAGAAGGTTCTGAAACCGCGATCTAATAAACTAAAAGTGGGGTCCCGTTTTTCCCATCGAGTGTTCAATGACTGGAACGCTTTACCAGAACAAGTGGTATCAGCACAACCAGTGAACATTTTCAAGAAGCTGGACCTTCACTGGAAGGAAATCTGTCAGGATTAACACAGGTTTATCAACCTACTATCCTTATTACTGAAGACTGAAGACTGAAGACTGAACCTAAAACTCACAGCGCCTAACACAACTTCGACCTTGGTGTAGCGCCACACGAACAATGGATATTACAAAAGTATTCATTCTTGCTTATCTTAATTGATTTTTAGGAATTTGACAGTCACGCTGAAAAGGTCAAAAAGCTTAAAGCAAAACCTAATGATCATGATCTTCTCGAGCTTTACGCCTTGTACAAACAAGCTACAGTTGGTGACAACAATACGAGTACGTTTTTTAGTTTAAATTTCATTCAGTAGGTTCACCTGGAATCCTCGATCTAAAAGGAAAGGCGAAATGGAACGCTTGGAATGGAAAAAAAGGTAAGTTGTTTAAGGCCATATGTATATGTAGTGCAGACATACCTGTACTTGAAAACCATCTGCATAAGTTAGTTTTTACAGTTGAATAATGACTTGGTGACTGAAGCAAGACATTTTACCACATTATTATAACAACTATACACTCTGAAGACTAAAGCCAGAAATCTTTTCTGCTTACGATGAGCGGAGAGATTCAATATGGTCAGTTATTTGTCCTATATGACTGGGATGCGTGCGCTTCTGTTTAATTTACCGTACACTGTACGGTATGTCGCCGTGGTTGCCGTTCCTTACTAATGGTTCATAATGGTGCCATAAACTCGTCCTGAGTATTGCGTGTTTCAACTAAAATATTCATCACAGTGACATTCGTAGGAATAAGCAGATTCGGCCTGACTACCAAGAAAGGACTTGTTTACTAGTGCATAGTTAGTCTTTTTTTAAATAAGCTACTTCCGTGTGCTACAAACTAAATTTGTAGACAGTTTGTATAAAATCGTATGATTAAATATTATTAAACATGGTTAGATATGCCCATCTCTACCGTCCAGAAATATATTAGTAGTGATGTCACATCCCTTAGTTTTATATAAATGTACATAAAGCTTGACTTGCAATATAGATTATGCAACATTAATGTAAATCAATGTTCATTATCATGCATTCATTTAACCAAGTATAACGTTATGTAGACCGGCCTATGATGATTATCAGTAATTGATTGCACCAGTCATGAGGCTGTCAGGGTTCTTACCGAATAATCTACAGTGTTTTTGAAACGCACATGTCAAAGGTCTAGTCAACTTTCAATCTTCCACTGAAGTTAAATAAGTGTAACGATCGGTCTACTTGGTTCCCGGTAGAACTGTGGACCACTTTGGCTCTTTATCCGTAAACCAACCTGTGATCCACTCCTCTTGGATGTAATAGTCAAGTGGCACCCTATTTAGTTACGTGTTGTTTCCAAGTATTTCTCATGCACCATAGAAAAGATTGTTGAGCTCTTGAATAAGCTTAAAATAAAAGAATATATATATATACGCATTCGTATGACCGAATTTTAAAACATGACAGCTGAGTGCTAGAAAGCAGTAAAATAATCATCCAAGACCTGGGCTTTGCAATTTTCAATCCTTATATCAAGGTTTCTAAGCTGCTAAACGTATAACCACAATAAATACTTGTTCATGACAATCTTTAGGAACCAATGACCATTCATCCTACTACAAACAAAGAAACCTATATTCTGTGAACTAAGTTCACAGTATTCAGCTAGTTATGATTGCAGATATTTTGTTTTTGATTGGTACAAATTACCAGCAATTTTCCTGAGTTTTCGTTGAAGACAGTTAAGAAACTTCCATAGTATCGGTCACTCATCTGATAGGATACAAATTTTACTAAAGGATGTTTTAAACGTATGTCTGAATTATCCACCTAAAAGCTCAATACACTAGACGTACTTTGGCCTTGGGTTACAGTTCATATAGATAACAAGAAGAACGGACAATACATTTAGAAAAACAATTTGTGGTATAAATGGATATCTTCACTCATTTCATCTTGTAGTTATTTGCGAAATATAACAATTGTACTTACTAATGTTATAAGCCAGTAAAATATTTCGCATTGATTTATTTTGTTACCATCAGCTCGCGGCTTTTTTTACTGATGTATCACTGTCCTAATAAATGGTTCCAAAAAGTCACCATTTAGTCTTACACAACGTAGAACCTGGCATATATGCTCATCAGTTCTTGTTGCCATATCGCTAGCATAAGTTATAAAAGTGGTTTCCTGTTGATTTTATTACTGTTTACTTTTAAATTACAGGTATTTGCAGAGAAGAAGCCAAAAAGTTGTACGTGGATAAAGCTAAATGCCTTATTGCAAAACATGGACTGGAATCATAATTACTATTAATTTTGTGCCAGAAAACTAATCTATTCAGTTAATATTTATTTATTTTTGATATGATTTACATATTAAGGTTGGTTATTTTAACGCTTTAGTTCCTCATCTTTTTGATTTTTTACTTAACAAATGTAAATTGTAACGATAGGGGTCACCAAACATTTTTGATAGGTCTTACAGTTATTTTTGATTGTATATCTAAACGTATTTTACGACAATAATGAATTCTGTTGTCTTTCATACCTTGTTTTAATATCGAAATATATTTTAAAGAAAACATGGAGATACTTCTTTTTGTTTAGAAACAGTCGGTCTCAGCGATTTGGATAAATGAGGACTATAGTATACGTTCAGTCAGTTACAGGCAACGTAGAACCTGATATATATTGGTTCAAGTCGCCATATCACATTAGCACGGCGAGACAAAATTATTACATGACTAATCTTAGAGCAGTAAAAATATCATTAATATAAAAGGTTTGGTATACAGAAAAGAAAACGAAGGTGTAAGGAGATTTCAAGACTCAGGTTCTATAGAAAGACATGAAGTAAATGAACATGTGCTATGGCGAACGATTCTGGGACATGTCACTTTATTTATTATTTATTTGAACACATAAATGTTGGTACAAAAGGGGCACCAGATACATATGCGCCACACAAATCTTATTTGATTTGTGTAGGGGCTGTGATACTGACCGGGTGCCCAAACCGAAGCAGGTGGTTTTCTTAGGGGGCCACACCCCAAACCTTTGACCTAAAGGTCTGATCCACAAGGCGGTTTAGCATCGTGAGGAGATGCAGTCCCATGGTAGCCAGTGATCAACAATTGATTCATACACCATTTGTTCCTTCAGGATACTGGAGCCCATGTACACCATTGGTTCGGAATGAGGGTTTTCCAACTCCCCTAGGTGGACGCGCCGTGTCCACCAACTCGGTTGAAGCTTCGGACATTGGCTTTTCGTCCTCTCAATTTCGTAAACAATAGTAATGCGACGAGAAGCCAATGAGTAGGACTTCCCTGGTAGAGACTATATACGCGTGGTCATGTGAAAGCATTTGGAGAGGGAGAACGGACTCTCCTCGCTCTCGGCCATACCAGGGCATTTGGGGGCAACGTAGACATTCCGCTTGAAGCCTAACCATTGGTTACGATAACCAAGTGGAACCCTACAAGCTAGTCTACACCTACTTAGATGGAACAGTTCGGTTGTCAAGTACTTCATGCAATGGAATACTGCAAATACGATTTAATGTAGAGGCTTGATGAAGGACTAATTGCAGAGAAATATTTCTCTCAACCTGTATTTTTAACATCTCAGTGGGAATATTTGATGACTTCTACATTGACTGATCTTAGAAAATAACTAAAGTAATGAAATTCCTCTTTGTATTTGTATTAAATGCAACATACATGAATTGTACTTAATACTTGAGCTTACAGACAACTACATACATAAATACTAATATTTTTTTGCCTAATCAGATCCATAATTTAAAATGCTGCTAGTTGAAATCCTACAATGATGCAGCGTCAAATCCAATCATTCACCCAATATTCAAAAGAATTATTCTTAAAACCAGTTCAAAACGTCGTTATAACAAGTAAAACAACTAATTAATTTGATTGATCTAAGAACTTAAATAAATATTTAGGAGTATATCTCGATCGTTTTAGTCAGAATGCTTGTGAACATCCGTCACGTCATTAATTGACTGAGGCTGGAAATATCGATCGTCAGATTGTCTTATGGATTTCAGGGCTACTGTGCTCGCTACGTGGTCCCCTAGTCCGGGGTCCACTCCTATATGGTTCCGGTAGATCACGTTATAGAGTTGGTCCCAACTTAAATTTAACAATCATCCTAGCGTTCAATCGTTTTTAAGCTGTATTATGCAACTCATTGTATCATCACATTATCAGACTTTGGTGCGCTTAAGTTTTCTGGGAAATATACATGAGGAATAAACCTTCATCTTGTTTCTAACACACTATTGTCATCGTATCTCTCGAAAGCTAAATGGTCAGTAAATTTGTTGAAACTACTGTATTGTGTCTTTATAGAATTCAACGTAGAAGTGTGTTTGTATTATAATTATTATTAAACTCAAAAGTGGGTTTAACGAATAATGATATAATAACCGTAGATGTAATACTATTTTGAACAGTTATCTAATTAAAGTAACCCACTGTGTCATGAAAATGAAGAGGATTCAGCGAAGATAATTCTGTTTTTGAGGAAATCATTTACTGTACATTCGTGTTTATAGTTGTTCGATAAATATATGTCCACAAGAAGATAGATTTTAAAGTGATCCGACGTCCCATATATCAAAAGGAGGTTGCGTAATGATCACGGGGTCGGAGAATGATAGGAGGGTGGAAATAAGAGAGACAATTGTCTACTTGACAGATATGAAGCAAAAATGAAAAACGTAAAGCCCCCGAAAATTGAATGACAATCATGAAAAGTAGTTAGAGGAGAATAATCAGTGATTACGGTCTTGTAAAGTTGCCAAATAAAAAACTACATCGAAGCATATTGGATAAAGGAATAAGGACCAAGAATGGGTGAGTGGTTAGATGTATCGTTCTCACACATGTGGTACGGGCTTGAATTAGTTGATCGTCAACTCTTCAGCAGTGTATAGGTTTTTGTTTCAACCTCCCTTTGGTCCAATTCTTTAGACTGTATAGATCACCTTCAAGGATCACTTCTGTGAAGTAACGTATCCAGAGTTGTTCTGGTGTTCTTGTATTGAGTCGATGATAGATTTGTATTCCTCTTTTAAAAGCTACCCCATGTGTTGCTTTTAGACGCGTTTAAAAAGTGATCGCTTAGTGTAGCCAATATAACTTCCTCTACAAGATGGAGCAAATTTAATAATCCGCATCTATTCGGTCCAAAGCGAACGTTTACCCCTAACATATCCGTGACTGGTAGGCCGGGTTGAGAAGACAATATATAGCTTAGCTGAATAGAAGTTTTTATTTTAGCCATCTTAATAAGTTAAATTAAATAAGAAGACGAATCTCGTCATCACTATGTGACATTTTGACTTGAAAACTGGCTTATATTAGGCCTATGATTACTAGTACTTGTGTATTTATTTGGAGATAAATTTGGAACACATGTAACAAGTAATGTCTGAAGTGAGATCAGACTTATTCGATCATATTTCTTTTTGCTATTCACAACGATTTCGTTTCTTTCTCAATTAGATATATCATTTGATTTTATTTATCCTCGCCTTTATTGTGTTTTACTACTGTGGGTTTTTCAGCTCTTCTCTGTTATAATGTCTGGTCGCTGAAATGAATACACTTTATGCTCGGTTTAACAGTGTTATGTATCTTTTCGTATATACCTGTCATACGAAGTGCCCCTAGATGCCCTGATACAGCCGAGAGTGGGGAGAGTTCGCTCTCCCTCTCCAAATGCTTTCACATGACCACGCGTATATAGTCTCTACCAGGGAAGTCCTACTCATTGGCTTCTCGTCGCATTACTATTGTTTACGAAATTGAGAGGATGAAAAGCCAATGTCCGAAGCTTTAACCGGGTTGGTGGACACGGCGCGTCCACCTAGGGGAGTTGGCAAACCCTGATTCCAAACCAATGGTGCACATGGTCTCCAGTATCCTGATGGAACAAATGGTGTATGAATCAATTGTTGATCACTGGCTACCATGGGTCTGCATCTCCTCACGATGCTCCACTGCCTTGTGGATCAGACCTTTAGGTCAAAGGCTCGGGGTGTGGCCTTCTAAGAAAACCACCTGCTTCGGTTTGGGCACCCGGTCAGTATCACAGCCCCTACACAAATCAAATAAGATTTGTGTGGCGCATATGTATCTGGTACCCATTTGTACCAATATCTATATGTTCAAGTAAATAAGTAACTCATACGAAATATGTTGTTTAGTTTCTCAGTAATTGTTATACACTAATTAACATAAAGATACCTTATAATAAGTAGATAAGGTATGTAACATATTAAGTTCACTTATTTGTATTATTGATATATTCACATTCCTTTCTGAATTATTCACATTTAAATTACTTAACAATTAGTCAGAAATATGTACGGTGTATGAGATGATTTTGATAGCGTAATAATTAGCTATTATAAAATTTTTAAAAGTACAAATATTCAGTACGAAGAAACGTATATCTTTTTGTTTGTTTGACTGATGTTGAACAATTTGATCACATATGTAGCTGAAATTTTTCACGAACCATTGAAAGCCAGTAATCAATGCAGAACTGTCTTAACCTAGTATGAAGTTTCTCAGAATTGTGCATCCACGATCCGACCAGGAGTCGAGTCTAGACTCTTCATGGTAAGCGTCTAACATTTATATCACAGATTTGGCACTCAATGGTTTACATTTTTAACTTCAGTCGATTAGATATATTGTATAACTATCCCTCAAAGTCATTGGTGGATATCTACCACATATCTGACATGCTTCAACCATTTAATGGTTTCTCAGTTTTTGATAGTTTATCAACTTTTTGTCTGTCATCATCTATTAATGTTTACTAATTTATTTATTCTAAAAATAAATAAATTAGTTGACATTAATAGATAATTAGAGACCAAAACGTGACACAATCCATGAGTCACTGACAATTTGACTGAGCCAGTCTGGTAGGTGTAGACTATCTGGTTGGGATTCGCGAGATGATAGCAATCGATACTCAAAGGCCTTGAATGGAATGGCTCAAAATCGTTTGCAATGGCGAAGGTGCATTCACTCTTTTTGTTCTGCCAAATCCTAATCTCCTGAATTATTCATGTCTCAATCTTTTTTCTCTTTCCAAATATATTTCACTGGATTATACTCGTTGAATAACATCTTCGAACCCTAATCTTTCGGGTTACGTCTTATACTCTTACTACTTCTACCACTATGGGATTTATTTATTTATTTAAACACATAAATATTGGTACAAGGAAAAACGAGATAAATATGGGCCACATAAATCTC